CCTTCTGCTTCAGTGTCCCAAGTTACTGAGATTATGCTACCACACAATTGGTGTTTTTTTCTTGTAAGTGCTTCTTAACACTTATTAGCATTTACTAATCCCATAGGACTACGGCCCCAAACTTATGACTTAATTTAACCTTAACTACTTCCTACAGTTTTCAGTCTATAAATACAGTCACACTGGGGCTGTGTTTGAATTTTGGGAGCACACAAAAATTCAGTGCTTACACACCTGGGTTTTTGCCTTAAGGTATAATATTAAATGTACCTATTGCAATCTTCTGGTAGTTTACTCAGTGTTAGTGTTTTGGAGATTGTGCTAGTCACTTCCTCCTTATTCTTTTATGATGTTAGAATTGTACTGTTTTATTTAAACCTGTCTATGGGTCTTTCTTTCTTTGCCAAATCCAAGGGAAACTTTCATTGTATTTGGATTTTGTTATTTTATTAACCATTTTTAACTGAATGCAGCTTTTAGTGTACTCTGTTTTTGTGTGTGATATTTTACACACGATAGGCAGTTTTACACCTGTGTAAAAATGTAAGCATTCATTAAATGTTTATTGATTGCCCACTTTGTGAGGGTCACTGAGCTGCTTGTTGGACCACAACCATGCACAGGAAAAGGTAATGTATTATCTAGCTGAATAGCAGGTATAAAAGAATTGCTACTGAGCAGAATTAGAGGGCAAGGAAGACTAGTTTATCTCCAATAAAAACTGATGCAGCAGGAAATGCTTGTTACGTTGTCACTTGTAGCCAATCCTGGACATTGCTGAATAGTTTTAAAGCTAGAATAGGATTTCCAGCCTGGAAGTTAGTATTAATAAACTTTGCTGGTGAGAGCTTTACCTTGGGAAGCACTATTGTACTGAGGATTGTCCTTCGGGTGCTCAAGCAGAATGCTAGAGTTTCCCTCTGGTGTGGGCCATTTTCAAGCTCCATGTGATCTCTACAGTTACTTTACACACATGGTTCTTGCCAAATCAACAGCAGAAATTGTTTTGGAACTCTGGAGTGAGTGAGGTACCCTGTGCAGGGGCTGTTGGGGCCTGGGTTTGAGAGATGGAGGGAGGAGATGAAGAAGGCAAGAGGAATAACCTGGTGGGGAAGGGGCAGGGAGGAGAAGAGCCAACAAATGGAGATGGGCAGAGCAGGCACCACTCCCTAAGTTGCCCTACCCAGACCTCTGCCAACTGGCAACTAAATTGCTAATTAATTGACATAATTTGAGCAAGGGAGTAGAGGCTGTCACTAGGTCTGAAATAAGAGAACTAAGCGGAGGAGCATGGGCATTGGGCTCAGACCTGAGGATCCTGGTCTTGTAGCTTACTGTGGCAAGTTACTGAGCCTCAGGTTTCTTCTCTGAGAAATGGAAATAATCATTGGCTAGTAGACATAAAAAATCTATTTATAATATATAGAATACAATATATTTATTGCTGAGAATCTATAGGGAACCTTTGGGTTATATTGGCTTGTACTAGAATCCCTTTATAGTCCTATGGAATGCAACCACAGGGCCCAGGGAGGACTTCTGTCCTAAGAAATTAAACGAAGTAAATTGGTAAGTCTGGATTTACTTAGTGATTAAATAACAGTTTAGTTAATAGATTATTAATGGTCCCCAGGTTTTGGTAATTCTTAGTATTTGCTTTTGAGAGCAGTTGCATAATTTCTTCTGGTACTGTAATTTTTTTAAGCAAAAAAATTGAGGTGTAACAAATGATGCTCTTGAGCTATTTTTGGGAGAATTGTATGATATAAAGCATGTGGTATAGCATGTAATCCACAGTAAGAACTCAATAAAAGTTATCTACTATTACATCATTGCCATTATCAGGCACACCCCATTGGCCACACTTAAGGCAAAATCCTTTGTGAAGTTGAGATTTCCCCCAAGTTCACCACTGCCGGATAGCAACTAGTGTTACTGCATACATTGCGAGGAAAAATTATTAAATTGCTTGATATTAATTCTGCGTAGTTTCAATTCTATCAAGTATCACATGGGTTTTCCTTAGAATGTGGCTTATTTGCTTGAGAGCTGCAATCCATATAATATTAGACCGTAAAATGACAGTTTTTACCTCTACAGATAGCATAGAATAAAAAAAAAATGTGTTAACAATAAGAGCAAAGCATACACTTATAATCCCAGTGGTTTGGGAGGCTGAGGCAGGAGGATCACAAGTTCAAAGTCAGCCTCAGCAGTGAGGTCAAAAACAACCTAATGAGACTCTGTCTCAAAATAAAAAATAAAAAGGCCTGGGGACGTGATTAAGCACCTCTGAGACGAACAAACCCAACACCAAAAGAGTAATTGAAGTAGGGAGACAGATATGCTTTCATGCTGTTAGTATGAATGTAAGTTGGTACAAAATTTTACAAGGACAAATTGATGGTTATCACAAAATATTTGATATTTTCATCTTCCATGGCAACCCTTTCCTTTCTAGGAATTTTTTTTGAAGAAATCATTGAAATAGGAAAAAGATTTATTTCAAAAGTATATGTAATATATATGTACACATACACACATATATAAAGTACATATAAAATAGCATTTTATATATAATAAAACAAAATAGAGAGTAATCGCTTTTTCCCTTGTGGATCAGAGCTTTCTGAATCCTTAGTAGCAAATTCTTAAAGAGTTGGGGCATGGGAAAATTGTCATATTGATATCTCTGTGGTTGAGGAGTTGGGATTGGGAATCAGGTTAGAATTTGCTCTTGGAGCTTTGTGGTTTAAGAACATTCAATGTACCCTTTGATTTCATAATAAAAACTACAGAAAGTAAGTTGGACATGGACATTTTGAAACATAGAGACTTTATAGAAGAGATAGATTGTGTAGGGCATGCATTAATAAATTTCAGTTTGGGAAACATTTCTTTGTAGTGAATGGAAGAATTGACAAAGGTGAAAAATGAATTTAGGATCTTTCAGGAAGAAGGGGCCTGCATTAGGGTCTTGTTGTAGGGAAATTAGAGTAATGTGATCAAACCACATGTTGAGAATTTAAGGCTATAGGGACACATCCCCAAAGATAAATGTCCTTTCATTTAGCATTGCTTAGGATCTAGGGCCAACCTGCCTTTGACATGTGTTTAAATCTCTCAATTTCTAATATCCAATGTACCCAGTGTGACTGGGAAAAGGGGTGCCTGGTAGGTGGAGACCCTGATCACATTAAAACTTCATTCCAACCTTAACTTTTGGGATGAGGCAGTTCATCATGAGAAACCTTGATAGATTTTGTTGCCCTAGTGTCAAAGTCCACATTCTTGACCCCAATTCCAAAACTCGGATCTGGCCTGGTTCTCTGCAGCCTCAGTCTGATCCAATTACAGTAACTCCTCAGGTAGAGTGTGTGAACAGCTGGCATATACTAGTGTGATTTTAAATCAGTGTACCATACATTTAAAAGCCACAGCCTCCCCTCACTCTGACTCTTTATTGTAGAAATTCTCAAACATACTCAAAAATGGAGAAAATAATGAATTTTGGTATACTTGCCACTCTTGTTCCAACTGTCCCACTTTTAGCTAGAAGGACTCCTTTCAAGTTGTTTCCTAATTCTTTAGATATGGACTGGCCAGTTTTGAATGGACCGCGTCATTATCTCCATGCTTGCCTGTTACTCTGAAAGATTGAGGCTTTGGAAACATAGGAAGGTTTGGGAGAAGGTTGGCCCTTTCCAGCAAAGGGACAGACAGTGCTCACTCTACTGCTGCCATCAGCGCTGTTTAGCCACCTGTTTCTATCCCAGTGGAGAGTTTGAGCTTATAGGAGCCTCCTCTGATTAGAAGATGTGGGACACACACACAGGTCTCAGACTCAGTGGACCTTTAAAATGCACCTTTTGTGTGAAAGATGCTGACTCAGCTCTGTAGGGGAATGGCAGGGTGGCCTCAGGGGTTAAAAGATTTGGAGCCATTCAAGACAAGAACCCAAAAGATAGCTGTAGAATGATGTTAAGAACACCAGACTACTGGGAAAAAAAAAAAAGGCTCTGGACTTTCCAAGTCACCATCTTTATGATCTTGCGCAATCTCCTGTTTCTTTCTAGCCCTTGGCTCCTTCAGTTTAAGGTGGGACAGTAGATTCAGTCTCTAGGTGTGCAGGACCTTTTCACTTCTTAAATTATAGAAATAGTTTACATAAGATTATATGCTTTTAAAATTGACCCTCAGACTTGAGGGATCACAGATTACTCTTATTTTTTTTTCTTTCTTTTTTTTGGTACCAGGGATTAAACTTTACTACTGAGCCATATTCACAGTCCTTTGTATGTTTTATGTTGATACAGGATCTTGCTAAGTTGCTTAGGGCCTTGCTAAGTTGCTGAGGCTGGCTTTGAACTTGCAATCCTCCTGTCTCAGCCTCCCAAGTTGCTGGGATTACTGGTGTGCACCACTGCCCAGCTCCACCCCCTATTTAAAAGATGAATCTCAGGTTCCTCTGGGAGCATGACCTAAGGTCACAGATATAGTGATGGAAATATCAGATCTTTGGAGTAATTTCTTTACGATTCTGAAATCTTCATAGTGTTTACATCCTCCCTTCTGTTTGATTGCACAGTGACTTCTCTTATATTCATCTGTGACAAAAACTTGAAAAAGCCATTTAGTACCAAAGCTGTCTGACATTAAAATTTGAGGGGAATAATCAATTCCCTCACATTAAGCAGAAATAAATTAAGAAATCAAAGTGCTACATAGTTGTTCAACTTTACTTTTCTTTTTTTCTGTTACAAAATATTCATAGTATGACTAAGACAAAGCACCTACTAGAAAATCTTGGAATGTCTAAAATCCAGTTCCTAGTAAATTTCTGAATATTCTCCTGTGAATCTCGTTATTCAACATTAATGGAAAAGAAAGTACTGATCCTCTTCCAAACAAGAGAATCAAGTCAGGAATTAAGCTTAAGTGATTTGCCAGCACTTTTATTGCCGGAGTTGGTAATTTTCGCTTCAAACTTCCCTTTACAGGATAGCTAACGGCCCAGAGAAACAGAGTGGAAAATGCAAAACAACGAAATTATAAAACCTGCCAAATACTTCTCAGAGTTGGAAAAGAGCATCTTGCTTGCTTTGGTAGAAAAGTACAAATATGTGCTGGAGTGCAAGAAAAGCGATGCCCGAACTATCGCCCTCAAGCAGCGGACCTGGCAAGCGCTTGCCCACGAATACAACTCTCAGCCCAGCGTGTCGCTGCGGGATTTCAAACAGCTCAAGAAGTGCTGGGAGAACATCAAGGCTCGGACCAAAAAAATTATGGCCCACGAAAGGAGAGAGAAAGTGAAGCGAAGCGTCAGCCCACTGCTGAGCACCCACGTCCTGGGGAAGGAGAAGATCGCCAGCATGCTGCCCGAGCAGCTGTACTTTCTGCAGAGCCCGCCCGAGGAGGAGCCCGAGTACCATCCTGATGCCGCAGCCCCAGGTACCGCTTGTAATTGAAAAACGGGAGGAATGTGTTGACATGCAAGTCATATAGTGCATAAAACAAAAGTACTTGTTTAAATCCTTCTGCCATCTCTCTTAGAGATTTTATTATCACTTAAACATAAGGAAAAATTAGGGACTACATTAATAGAGCTGTTATTAATGAGAAATATCAGTTGCTTATGTCAACCCATTTCCTGTATATTAAAGAGAATTTGATGAGGGTTTATATTCATTCACTCACTATTTTCTCAAACAGTATATTTTGAGGACCTCTCATGAACAAACCAGTGTGGTAAGCCTCTCAATTCTGACTTAAAAGACAAAGTACAGAGATTAATATAATATAGCAAACATCCATTTGGCATTCATCCAAATTAAAATCCCATGTTTCTATCCACTATAATATTGTGATCTAAAGTTCTAATTTGTAGCACTTTAGGGATTTTGAAAAACCATTTTTATTTTAATATGCTTCTGTTGACAAAAGCAAATATGTCATACATAATTCCAGTAAAGGAAAATAATACAATTGAAGATTATATATGAATTGACCCGTTCACTGCAATTTGCAAAAGTCACTATGAAGCAGAGGAATGTTTCTGGGTGTTACTCATAAGGTATTCCAAGGACCCAGCAAGTACTTGCCCCAGAAAATCTGGTTCTTGGCTTGCAGGATCAGAAATTCACTTGTCAGTGTCCCCAGAGTAGATTGAGCTCTGAGGGACTGACTTCTGTTAATTAAAAGTTACCAGAAACTATCTGAAACCAAGAATGTTATCTGTGTAGGGTGAAAAAAGTAATTACCAAGTGAACCAAATACATGCTTTTGATTAGCACTTCTTTTTTTTTTTTCTTCTCCTGTAGGCAGATCACACTGGGAAGCTAAACTATGATCAAAAGTTTGCTTGTGAACATTTGGCTGAGGTTAAGTTCAGGGAGCCAGTTAGGTAACCATAGTGGTTAATGTAATGGCCCTCTTGCATCATTTTCCACTGCAGGCGCCTAGTGCCTCGGTTTTGATTCTTGGGTTCCCAAGCCAGGCTGGCTCCTTAGCAGACAGTGTTTTCATAGACTCTACTAACTCTCTTTTCCCTCCCTGCTGTTTCTTTGGGCCTGCTGAACGACAGGGTTCTTGCTTTGTAGACACTTCTATCTTCAGCTGATCTCTCTCCCTCTTGTTGGCCTCAAAGCTGTTTAGCCTCTGCAAGGCAGCATAGGAAGTAGTGCTGAGGTGGTGGAGAAAGCGAATCAGCTTAAGTGATTTTCTGGCTTTCCACATTGCTTGTGTCCCCTGGGCTCTGTTGCTGAGGAAGATGCTGGGGTGAACTGCCTTCAGTTTATTTTGCAAATCTGTATTCTAGATTCTGGTGTATTGATTTTATAGGGTCATCCTTTGGGGACAGTCTTATGTCCACATTTTCAGAATCTGGGATAGGATCTAGAAAGTTCATCCACAATTAAAAAAAACCATTTATTTATTTATGTATCTTTATTTTAGGCAGACACATTATTTTGTTTTTATGTGGTGCTGAGGCTCGAACCCAGTGCCTCTCGCACGCTAGGTGAGCACCCTACCACTGAGCCCCAGCCCCAGCCCCAGCCCCTCCTTTTTTTTTTCTTTTTGAGAAGAAATTATGTAATTCATTTACTCATAATGCACTCTATAAATTTTCAGCAAGAAGAAAATGAATATAGGTTCTTAATGTCCTTCCTGTCGTGATGTTTGCTAGAGATCACTTGTAAAATAAAATTATTTTAAATTAGATGCTTAAACCTATATAACAATGGAGACTTTTCTTTGCTCCTGCTTTTTTTCCACCCAGTACTAGGGATTGAATCCAGGAGGGCTCCATTACTGAGCTACATCTCCAGCCCTTTTTAAATTTTAAGACAGGGTCTCACAAAATTGTGCAGGGTGGACTTCAATTTGTGATCCCTCTGACTCAGCCTCCTGAGTTGCGGGGATTACAGGTCTGTACCACGGCACCTGGGTCACTGGTTCCATGGCGCCCAGCCAAATCCAGTCTACTCCTATTTCCACAGTGGAGAACCTTAGTGGTTAGTCCGTTGGGAAGTGTCCCCAAAGTCATCTCTTAGTACTATTAATTAAGGTGTTAGAATTCTTTCTACACATTAAAACAGCTGTGAGGTTATTCCACCCATTTGTGTTTCGACTTATTTTCAAGAAAGAAAGAACAAAAAATAAAAGATTAGAATTGTCAATCATCCCTTCTGGGACTTGGTGGAGAAAAGGTTGAAAATCTGCTATATATGGTTATGGCCCTCCTGGCCTCCTGTGTGTTTTGACACATGGACTATGTGTGTGTGTTTGTTTTACCTGTGTTATCTCTAACACTGCACTGTCCAGTACAGTAGCCACAAGCTGCATGAGGCTCATAAGCACCTGATGAGTTGGTAGACCAAACTCAGATGTGCCATAATAGTACACACATTTTGAAAATAGTACTACAAAAAGAATGTTGAATATCTCATTAAATTTTAGATTGGTGACATATTTAAATGATAATATTTTAGATATATTGGATTAATATTACAGAAATTAGAATTTAAAATTAATTTAAAATCAATTACATAACATATTCTATTTCTATTGACAGTTCTATTATAACATCTTACAGGGTGCCTCTTAACAGAATTAGGGGCTCAGAGATTTGCTGGAATTTATTATAAAAATGTGAGGCAGGATGGAGCCTAGCATTATTCCACTAGGGGCCTCCCTCCAACTGTGTTTCAATATGAGACAGTATGAACTGTGTCATCTTGATCACTGTCCCCTGGATATTCTTAGCTTTGCCAAGGACTTTCTTAAAATGTACAATTATACAAAATTTCCAAATTGTACAAAATGTCCAAATGCAGTTTGAACACAGTAACTTTAAATTTAAGAAAAATAGGAATGTAAAAAAATAAAAATAAAAATAAAAAGTGAGTATTTTTTTCCATAACATATTAAACAGTTTACATCCTGCACATTTTGTGATCTGTGATAATATGGCCTTGAAACTCATTTTCCATTATCTTTGGGGATCAGATGTGGAGAACAAACTAAGGGAGCCATCAAAATTTGCTAGGAGTGACTGGGAAGTAAGATGATAGTCCAATACATTTAAGGAAACTAAGCCTCTGAGGTATCTTGGCATAATTTATATTTAATTACATATATATTTATTTTCTCTATTATAATTAAATAAAGAGAATATTTTTAAATAAATTCAATTATCATCATCACTGTTTAATCCAATCCCATTTTTTGGGGGGTGGGAACTCAGGTACAGAGGGCTGAGTTTCATTTCCAGTTGTGGCACATCTACATTATTGGTCTGTGAAAACCCCCTCTTTTGTATTAGTTATGTGTTTATCCCCTTTTCATCCCTATTCCCTACTTTCATTCTCTTCTCCTATACCCAAATTAGTCTAGTCTGCTTGAGTATTATTTCACATGTGTTTTGTGTGCATATATTTTTAACCTACATAGATGAAAAATTGTAGATATCTCTGCTTTTGCATTTTCCACTTAGGATAATGTTTTTAAGATCTATTCTCATTATATATGAAATGAATCATTTCTTTTAGTTATGGCATTATCTCTCATAATATGCATCCATCCTATCTCATTTATCCATTTCTCCATAATCTGGTTTCCTTTGTTCTGTTGAGAATTGCAGATTGGCCCGTACACAGTTTCCTCATAGCCTTTCACTGCTGTGTAGGCTTTTCCAGCTAATGCTAAATTTACTCAAAGCCCAAGTGAAAGAACACCCTCTTGGCTGTGTTCTCAGTCCCAGAAAAGCTTTCCTAACCTTTTTGCATAAAATTGAGTTGTTTTCTACTTTGGTTGGTTTGGTTTTACTTGGGAAAGAGATTATTATGTGGTGTGTGTTTGTAGCAGGTTGCTATTCCCAGGCTAGCCTTTTTCCAATTAAGGGAATATTCTTCCTATCTGAACACTAGCTTTTATTAATTGGAGCCAACATGTTTGAAAGTTGGGTTTCCTACTTTAATTCCTATCTATGCTAGCCTTCTCAAGAGGCCTATCTTTCTTGAAAATGTTTGTTAGTGCTCATTTTAAAGAATAGTCTTAAAGTAGTTATCTGTTTGCTTCCAGATATGAATATACTGTTTGAATGTTCAGAGAGAACTTTTGGAGATCAAAATTTGGAATACATACTGATATTCTTAGTAATAGATGGCTTTGTAGTGGATACAACTTTGGGGCTGTATTTTACAGTATGTAAGTGATCAACTGAGCAAGCAGAGTCGTGGGAGGCTGAGTTGAAGAGGTTGAACTTAGATTTTGGAGTCATGTAGCTTCGCATTAGGATCTTGGCTCTTTCAATTAGCCAAATGACCTTGGAAATTGTATTTGATTTTCTATAATAATACCTCCCTCCTAGTGGTATTGTAAGGATTAGATAAGGAAATGTTGTAAAACACTACTCCATACCTATTTCACCATTCAGAAAATGGTAGTCGTCCTCCCCCTCCTCTTCCTTCTCCCCTTCCTCCTCATGTCCCCAAAGCCTAGAATTGCTGAGATGAAAGTGAGCATTTAGAAATTGGTAGCAACAGCAGCATTGTGAGAGGATGAACTTTAAGGACTCAAAGGAATATCTAGAACTGTCCTCTGGAATGAAATTTAGAAGCCACAAGGGTAGAGATATCAGAAAATGCCTAATGTGTCCAGTCTTCAAAAAATATTTTCAGATTGAAGATTAGAAGGGAAATGGGTAAGACTTTGTGGTTAATGCTTGTACCCCAGGTCCTCTGTCCTCCCTGTCAGCCCTCTCCCATTCCTTTGTCCTGTGCTTCAGTCACCCGCTCTGGAGTACTGTTCTTTCTCCATAGTTGTGTTGCGGGGAGGGACATGATCTGCTGCAGCCAGTTCACCCCACATGCATTTCTTACATGCCCAGCACTGTCCCAGACTCTGTGCTGGGTTCTCCCTGAGTAATAGGCTCAGAGTATTCAGAAACC